ACATTATTTTGGCTATTTGCATCTCGTTAGCGTCGCATAAAATAATGATTAATCTATTCGATTGAACGAATATTTTGGAAAAAAATATTGAATCTTGATTTAAATAAATTGTTTGGTTATCTCATTTTTCACTTAAAAATTATTAAATCTATAATTTAAGGAATGAAATTTATATTCATTTTGATTATAAAACTTACATTAATTTATAATTACTCCCAGATTTTTACTTAACAATAAGAGAAATAAGATATAATATACGATTTCAACGAATCAATAACAAAATTAATTAAATTTCCAGGAAAAATGTCGTGATTCAATCTTATTACACCGTAATAAAGAACAGTGTTTTAATTATTTTCAAAAATATTCTTGGATTTTGAATCAAGTTTTTCACATAAATAATCGTTTCTTTTCCTCAAATCTTCCAGAAAATATTATAGTATTGTTAATAAAATATCCGCAATTTCCAATTTTTCTGCTTAAATACTTATTTTGGTCGAGAACGAACGTTTGAGCAGAGAAATCAAAAATTGCGTAAAATCGAGACACGACGTTGTGAAAGAGATCGGTCGATATACTCTTTCCTCAATTGTTAACTGAAAATCAAAACTCAGGATGTCTCAACCAAACCGCATCTGTTTTCCTTAATCAAGTCGGGATAACAAGTATATGACATAACCAGTATAAAATTAACTCGCATGATCTATTCATTAAATCGTATCATGTCTCAAGATTGTTTTCTGCCGAGTTCTTCAATAGAAACGCGTTTGTAAGTGGTCTGAAAGGGTTCAAAGAACGATTCAGCGCCGAGAGAGTATCCGTACATGTGTCGAACGCGCGGCGAAATCTCCCTCGTCGGCGAAAGAGCGAACGAGAGGGGAAAGGATTGAGAAGCGGAGAAGCAAGAAGAAACGTGCGTACTCGGCGTTCGTGTAATTAATGCGGCACGATTAAGCACGAAACGAGTAGGTTCCGGCGGCGATGTGGTTGCGTTTTGTTTTAAAAGCGGAGAGTCGGAGATGTTTAGCGCCCTGCTGGGGGCAATCCTGTTCGCTGTGGGGGGTCCTGGCACCCGCGACCCCCCTTCCTCTACCCTAACGATGCCAGGAGTCTCTAATCCTCCCGTATGTCTAGGCGAGACTCCGAGGCGGGCGGACGATACGCGCGGAACGCGCAACATTCGGCCCGAATGCCTCCTTCTCGAAGAAAAATCGAAATATAAATATGGGGATTATAATCGATTATTGCGCAATCGTAAATCTCGCGCTTTAAACGCTCGTAGATTCGCCCCTTGGCAGAATGATTGATTTAAATGATATTGTTGCAAGTACACGATGTCTGCATCCTCAAAATCTAATCACACGCACGCACGGGTTCTAATTAAATATAATGTAATTATATATGTAGCGACAACTCTTAAAGAGTGATATAAAATAAGTTAAAATAATATAAAATAAAAATGAATCCTACAAGAAGGGTGCTCCAATTGGGGAATTGAGATCTAAACCAATCTAGTACACGACGAAGAGAGAGTTTGCTTGTATAGTCACCAGTGATGATTAAAAATTGTCAAACGATACTGCAAATCAACAACATACGCAATTATAAGATTACGTAAGTTATTAAGTAAAACATAGGGAAGAAATGAACCTAAGTGAGTCGAACTAAACACGCGGCAATTAACGACGTCAATAATGTGCGAATGTAAAACTTGACAAGACTGCTTGAAACCTGTTCTTCAATCACAGTTAAAATCACAATGTCTCAAATAATCCTATCATTTCATAGCGCCTGTTCTCTAACGCGGGAAGCGGTCGCGCGGGCGATCTCGGATCGGATCGAATCTCGGACCGAGCAAACCGATCGAAATAATTTTCTCAATAGAGAGCTATCAGGGGGGATAGGATCCATGGACCTAGTGTGGAACGCGTTCGCAGTCGCCGCCGCGCCGTCGTCGGTGAACCGATGATCGAGGCCGATCGTCAAATCGCCAAGTCATCCGGGCATACCGTCTATCCTCGTCCACGCGATGACGAGGCCGCACCGTGACGAACCGTATTGGGAGTGTCTACATCACCCGGCGGTACTTTTGATTCCCAAATCCGTGATGCTGCCGAGAGCCGGAGCCGCGGCAATGTGGAACGCGCGGTCGTTCTATTCGGACGGAAAACGGGGCGAATCTCTCCACGTACGTGGGAAAGACAAGCGGAGCCGTGTAAGGTCTCGTTTATTACGCGACCTAATGGCCGACGAAGAGACGTCATTTTTTAGCGTCGCCGTCCGCGTTCCTTCAACGCGTCACTTGATTCTTCGGCGTGAAAGTATGAAGTCGGAGGATCGCGAAAATGATGGCAAACATGAAAGTAAAGTATAAAAGTGTGGAGAAAACAATCGGTGCACAAATTGTTTGTTTGGCGAAAAAAACGATCTAACAATGGCGACATTTATTTGATATATCGCGTGGTCTTTAGAATGATTGACAGTGTCAGAAGCAGGGTTGGCTGGAAAAATTCAGGAGGTGGAAAAAACCATGGTGAATTTCAGTTTTTATTGTCCCGGACTTTATCCAATGGAATAAATTGACGAAAATTGTAAAAATAACGAAATAGTCAAAAGACGAATAGGTAATGCAACAAAAATGTATCGGATAGTCTTAGAAGAATGAGTTCGTGCGAGAAACACGGCGAATTGAAATTCAATCCAGAAGTTGAGAAGTGACAGTTTAGAGAGCGAGGAAACTTTGCAGGAAGACCGAGAACCGTTCGCACGATTACCTCGAGGAGAATTCTCGCTGGTAATACCTCGAGAGTCGCGCTTCTGAAGCGGTAACATGAAACATCTCTCTCACCGGAAACGATAAAAGATCCCGGATAGCTTTCAGGATAGATGGCTGCTTCTCGAAAAGTTCTACTCGAACAATCGACGTAACGAGCCGCGCTTGGAATCCGCGGCCGTTCTTTACCGCGGAAACGCAATGATACAAAAATCCGGAATCGCAGCAGGTGCTCGCGCGCGGAAAGATTGGATAAGTTGAATTGTTGTTGTCCTAAGTCGCTCGCCTCATTGCGATCAGTCACGAGACGCGTCTCCTCTCGGGCCCCTTTCTTTTTCTTATTCTTGCGCGACCCGATATTAAAACGAAATCGGCGATACGTTATTTGCGTTCACTCGGGACGCGCACGGCATAAAATCGACCCAACAACCAGAGATAGGACGGTGGAGGCATGAAAAAGCGGTGGAAAAAGGGAAAAGAGAAGAGGGACGCGGATTGACGAAGGAACGAGGAGGAGCGGACTTCCGCTGAACTGATTAGGGCTCCGGGTCTCTTCGAGGAAGCCTTGCGTTGGAATGGGACGGAATGCGCTGGAACGCATATCACGAATGACAATTCGCATTCGTTGTCCAATTTCTATTTACAAGTATTGGAATTCAATCTTCCGGGGTTCTACACCGCCATCAAACTCCGGCTTCTTCGCAAAGCATTTAAATTACAAAGTAGAGCAACGACATTGTTCATCGTCCCTCGTGACTAAGGCTAGCAAAATTTAGAAGAATAAGAGAAAATGTTAACAAAGTTATTTAATTTTTTCCCCCCTTTTATTTGTAGGTCCTGTGAGGAGAAACTAACATTTCGTATCACGTTAAAATAATAATTTGCAAATGATTATTGAATATTGCAACTTGCTTCCACTTACCGCACCATTCGTATAATCGATAATCGTAAAAACTAGGTAATTCCTGTATCAGCACAGGGTTAATGATGCGGTTTTCATATACGTGTGAATCATATTCTCTCAATATTGTGTTTATAAAAGCGTATAGGTACATTGCGAGTTTTGACACGCAGCGATACCGATTCCGAGTACTTCGAGTTGCCAGAAACGAAAAATGGGCCAAGGGATCGCTAACCTAACGGTTTTACGGCAGCCGATATTTTGTTAATTTTCGAGGAGAAACGTAAAATTCAGGTAGAGACAGACGAGAGGGAGAGAGAGAGAGAAGAGAGAAAAGGAGAGGGAGATGGAAGGGAAACGCGGACGAAGCAGAGATCTCTGCCTCGCAGCAGTGTTCGGTTTCTTTGGAGCATCGACGGTAATGATACGCTGCTCTCCACCTTCCTGAAAAGAGTAGGATGCGTCATTGTAACCGGAATTCGAACTCTCGCGGAACAACAACTTCCAAGGAAGAAAGTACCTATCGATTACTTTTCTGACCCGGAATCGAACGAACGAGTTTCTTCAAATTTTTAAACGGCATCTAAATCCCCTATTATTTGTACGCTGCGATAATGAAAACGATCGACATTATAGCATAAAACTCGCAATAAACAGCTGTTATATTAAACGTATCAATTCACATTGAATATATTATTTAAACTATATAGTAAAAATGTTCAAATATTAAAATATGCAAAAAAAGCGGAAATGGCGAAGTTTTAATTACTGAAAACAATTAAATATTACACGGAATTTTATTTTAAAATTTATCCTGAAAATCACGTAATCGTGGGACAACGTGGCATTTCCAAGAATTTTATGAGTTTTTTTAAATTTTATCATACATTCTACTAGTAATTATACTTATTGTTAGTATACATTTTACTAGTAAAATGTACGGTGAAATTTGAAAAACTCTCATACAATTTTTCGAAATGCCGCGTTGTCCTACGATTACACGATTACATGATTTTCAAGGTAAATTTTAAGAGATCTCTCCGTGTGCATTTAAACAATATTAAATAATTTCTATCAAAGAAAAGAATTAATAGGAAAAGCAAACTACGGAATATTCTTTTTGTTGCGATGGGATCGCGCCCACAGGTACGCAGCTGATCGCTAACGCTACTATTATTCGAAATATTGGACTGGTTGCGTAATGCGAAGGATTCCGAAGAACGCAAAAAGAATCCTTCCGGGCTCCGCTGTTATCGGCGCGGCCCCGAGAGCCTTCCACGAACGACACGGCGCCTAATCAGACCGCTCGTCCATCATGTGTTTCAGGTCTGGTTCCAGAACCGGCGGGCCAAGTGGCGTAAACAGGAGAAGGTCGGGCCGCAGGCGCACCCCTACACCCCGTACCCACCACCGTCGGCGGTCGTGGCGCCGACCTTGCCGAACCCCTTCGCCCTGGTCAACTTCCACCACAGGAAGCCCTTCGACGCCTTTCGCTATCCGCCGCTGGGCCACAGCCCGGTCCTCCCCGGCAGTTACGCTCATCCCTATCATCGAGCCCCGCCACCGATGCTGTCGCCCGGCATACCTCTGCCGTACAACTCCTTCCAGAATCTGCTGGCGAACATATCGGCGGTGCAGCGGCCGAAGCTGGGGGTGCGCGTCTCTTCGCCCCCGCCCCCGCCCCCGGCCTCCGCGATCGCTCTGTCGCATCCCCCGGTGGTGCCACCGCCCCCGCCCCCGCCGACGGCCACCTCGCCGCAGAGCTCGCCCACGGGCAGCGTGGGGCTGCCGGACATCGACAGACGGACCAACAGCATCAACACGCTGAGACTCAAGGCCCGCGAGTACGAGATGCACCTGGAGCTGCTGCGTAAGAACGGCGATCTCATAAGTTGAAACGCCGTTGTTCGGACGCGGCGGACAACGAGCGCGAGTCTGTCCTGAATCGGTTCGCACGGTTGTAGATTCGGGATCGGACGTTCTTCCGCGCGGGAACCGCTAGCGGATCGAGTCAAGTGAGCGAACTCGCCATGTTCTCAGACGCACTTCGATCAGCGCTTGTCCAATGTGACACGGGGTCTCGATAAAATACTTTTGTTAGTCGAATGTTGCACGCGGCGAACACAGCGAGTGCGATATTCAGCTATATTTCGGCGATTTAGATCGTGTACCGTCACATTGGTCAGATTGTGATTCGGGTGTTGTTGCTCTCGGCCCGTTATCGATAATCGCGACGAACTTAGGAAAATGTGTGATCGAGTTTCGTGGCAAACAAACTGTACGTAGTGAGTGCTAGCACGTCTGTTAAACGAAGCAGATTCTTTAGCATCGAAAGAGGGAATGTGAAGGGCATGTGATAAGTTCCGTTTTCCGTCTTTCAAAAAGTCTATCGTCCCCACGATTTTAATGATTTTAATGTTTACTTTCGTGTAGCAAAGAGTATCTCAAGAACATCGGTAATGTACAATTGAACAAAATTCTCAAGTATCGCAAGTTGCGCGTCAGTTTTTTATCCGCGAAATAGAAATTAAAATTATTTTGTATTAGGTTATACGAATCGGTTGTTTTCTTAATATTCGACGCACAATGACTCTGATTTCACGGCGATCGTATCATCTAATTAAATAGTTCAATTCAATCGGGATAATTTGGAATTTATAAAAAAAAGTAGAGAGTATCTTAGACTGTCTTCTTTTTAAAATTCAGAAACGTAGTTCATTGATGAGAGAAACTGATTGCGAGCTGCAATTTTGTTTATCATTTGTTGTTATCCACGGCGTTGTTCCATAACGCGAAGCAAAAAGGAACGCGGAACAACGTGAACGAATGCAAGGGAGAGCGAAATTACCGTTACTCGTGTACACCGCATGTGTACATAGTAAGTTTACCGTGTTCCAATATGCGAGGGGAATTAATAGAACTGCGCAAATCGAGGAATTTGTCCACGCGAGTATATCGCGTGGTACATCATTTGAACCTGTTTCGCATGCATCGAGAGGTACGTTTCTTAATTAGTTCGCATAGTCGATAACCACGTCAGTTTCTATTAGACTACTATCGTACATGTTATACGATAAATTTATCGAGGCACATTAGCATTTTGATGCGGAAAGAAATTTTTCTTCTATAAGCTACTCGATCAATTTATTGTAGGACACGTGAGATATTAGCTTGACGCTGATCGTCAAACATGCGTGAAAGACAGATATTAATCCTAGCAGGATCGAGTTCGGAATAGTAAAACGGCGGACCCCGTTAAGTTCATTCTTTCGACACGTGGTGTAAATAAATGTAATAAGTATTAAATCAGCAATAAACGAATATATGAATACAATTTCTACGTGGTATCTGATTGACAGCAGGAAATTCGACTTGTAGATTTAATATTAAATTTAGAACATTTTCCAAAATTTGGAAACTAATTTACAGGAAAAATGTAAGTTTTGTGTATGTTACAACGCGCAAAAATTTTCAATAATTGGAGCACTATTGCAACAGCATATTCCTGAGACCAAATCAAGTAAAAAAAGTCCTGTACTACTTCCCCTCCCCCCCCCCCGACAAGCAGTTATCGAGATATCATAAGCTAAATATCGAAAAAGTTATCAATTTTCTCGTGAATATCTCAAAAAGTATTAGGCAAATAAAAAATGTTTCAGAATCAGAAGTTATTCATATTAATTAGTAGAATAAGATAGTATAATAAACAATAGGGGGTGCCATTAAAAAAATTAAAGGTAACCTTCGCGCGACCTTCAAGCAACTATTCAAGGTCAAATTAATGACACCATCGTATGTCCCCCTTGGAACCAAACAACTTTTGTCTTGAAACATTTTGTTCCCAAATTAAAACCAAAAAGTTATTAGGGGTGGTAAATTAACATGCTGACCCTGTACAATTAAATTTTGTATAGCTTCTTGAATCTGCTAGGACTGATTGAGCCGTGTGAATCGTTGTTCTCTTTTCGCATAGAGAAAGACGATGGCAATTATTCGCGATTCCAAAGTGATCCTTATCTAAAGATCATCGAAAAGTGTCCGTCCATTTGCTGGGTTATTCGATATCGCGACGGAAAGTCGGAATTTTAGAGACTACTAACTAAAGTGTTTAAAAAAAAAGTCGAAAAAGACGAGCTCTGTGAAACGCACAAGGGAATACCTATCTCTGTCCCGATGTATCTCCGCTCCTTTCCGTCGCGATCGCAATAAAACCCCGCAACAACGTTGATCGATGATCGTACAAAACCCAAAACCGTGTAGTTTTATTTACTTTTACACGACACGTTATATACACGTTTAGGCAATGAAGAGAAAAAGAGACGAAAGAGATACTATTTATATATATTATATATATAAATCTATATATACTTTTATTTACAATTCAGATATTCTACACTATAGATTTTACGACTGCATACTTAGCATGTAAGCCGCCTGTAAATAATTGTAACGATCTGCGCGTCATTTCTAACAAGACCTTGCAATCGTCTGTCCGGTTTGCATAATGTACAACGACACGCATACGTAACCCGTTCCGCGGCTACTTTTCTCTGTCGCTGGCGCTCTCATGTCTCAAATTTCTACACCACAAGGATCCATCCGAGATCCTTACGCTGAGAAAAAAAGTCTTTGAAAATTTATTTGTAGTATATAATGTTGATTTCACTGAAATAAACATTATTTGTGTATTCAAAGACTTTTTTTCTCAGCGTAGAACGTTATCGATCTCGTGATTCGAGCCTGGCAACGTGCCGAGTGCGAAAAGATGCGAAAAATTTAATGAAATCACCCCCTTCCCCGTCTTTTACGATGATAGAACGACGATCGGAATGGAATTCGAGATCGAAAATCCGCTTTCCCTATTTCTCAAACTGAACCAGCCACGTACATTGTACTTAATCTTAATATTACCTCCCTACCTTTTCTTTACAATGAATAAATAACTACAATAAAAAAGAACGCATTTTTTATTAAAGCAAACCCTCCAAAGGTGAAAATTTTTATATTCGATTCAATGACTGTACCCTTATGCACTTGTGTTATTTGTGAATATAACAAAACGATGGAAATTTCTTCTTTTTAGAACCACTTTGTCGTTATTACAATTTTAAAAAAGATAAAAAAAGACGCCAAGTATAAGCGCCATCCAATCAAGAATTACGTAATTTAATTATTTGGATATATTTTGTTAGGAAAAAAATACATTTTTATTGTCCCTGCAAAAGTAATGACATCATCAAATTGCGCCAAGTAAAATGGATATTTATATAAACTAGATACTTAATTATTTTTGAAATTAAACTTTTATATCCAAACAATCGAGCATAAGATTTTATCTTTTTGACCACTTTGTCGTTATTGCAATAAAATACAGAAGTTATTTATGTGGATCCACAGTGTTTCGAGAATCCGAAAAATATACGGGTTAAATTCTCAATGTCGCCATCATGCCGCAAGGAGATGCGGGTCGGATAGTAATATTAATTTACGGGCTCGTCAGCTTCCCGAAAAATAGCCCATTAACTCGCACATACATTAAATGCTCCTTCTCTCTCTCTCGAAAGCCCGCGCTCGAGGAGTTCCCCGGGATTGACTTACGGCGAGTAATTCGCGGCCGGACACGCCCGGCCGACGAGTTATTTAAATATTTTACAGTTTAATGGAGTCCCGGGCCATTAACGGGCGTCAGCTAATTAGTAACGTATCCAGACGTGTAACAACGCGCGAGCGTGCTCTGAGGAAGGTCCGCTAACGATCGGTCGATAAATCGAACATTCTGCCGACAAATCGGCTCGCCGATCGAGCCTGACGTACAGCAACGAATTTAAAACGTTTCGGGCACTGTAAGATAAAAGCACACGGATTGATTCCTCGACAGATAATACGAAAGATTCGCTGAGGCTCTCGTTGAGTTTACTTTTCCGCGGAACTTCAACTCGTTGTTTAATACTGGAACTCTCGACGATTACTTATATTTCGGTTATTTAATTGTTATTAAATATACTAGATGTGTATATATTATACATGTGCATTTCTTTGAAAAAATTGACGAAGAGAGAATTAATCGATTTAATTCATTTGCATATTACAAGAAACGGAATTATCTCAAGAAGTATATATTTTTATGAATTTAATTAACAGTCAAAAGATTACAAGTCGGTCAGCTTAACTGTTTTGGTAGTTGCTATAAAGATACACAAGGTTTGAAATAGGCGCGTTTTCTAAATAGATATCGTAAAAACGTACCTACTTGAACGCTAATGACGAGGGCGAATTTGATTGCAACGAGGTCACGTTAAGACGTTCGTTGGAAAAGTTGTGTGCGAAAGACTCCACACCCAGAAAAAAATTTGAAGATTTACAGTAAAGAACTAATTTTTCGCAATAAATTTCTTTAGTTAGGACTTGCTAGTTGTTTTGATTATTAATTTCCTGTATTGGTTAAAGAAGATTTATTTAAGTTAAATGAATGAGATACGTTGAAATCACGTTACATTGAATCTATTAAATTTTTATTCATTTCTACCAAAACATTCGTTAGATTTGAAGAAATAGATATGAATTCTCTTGGAGACTCTAGTCTTAACCAAATAAAATTTGGTCAAAATTCAAAGAAAATTTGTTAAATTTCAAAGAAACTTTTTTCTGAGTGCCACTTCTTTCTCTTATATTATTTCTTTCATATTAATTTCTCTAGTATTAATTCTTCTATATTAAAATTCCATTGCATTAATTTCGCGAGTGTTTTCGCGAGTAATCCCTAAACCTAAATCCTGATAATAGCAAGTTAAAACTGTTAAAGATACGTAAAATCCTCTCCTAGGAAAAAACCATTTCAAGTGCGTTGAAGATGTCATTGAAAGATTCGGATCTTCTGCTAAGCGCGTGCGTGTGCTCGATTATATAAATCAGAACCGCGTGGTAACGGGAACGCGGACAGACGCCGACCGTTGTACTCGATTGCGACTAAGCCGCACGATGGACCGATTTTAATGATACGCCGTGAAACGATAACATACAATCAATTTCACGTTTCAATTTCCCGGAACGGTTAAAGCGCTGAACGAATACCGGCACTTGGGCTGATCTCGCGGAATTTCATTGACCGCCATCGGAAATTTGCTGATCGAGAAATGGTATTAGAAATCGGACGTTAATGCTTGGAATTATGCCTTTATCGCGGTACATCGGGGCTGGCTAACGTCGTATACGGAATGTGATTACGTGGCTTGCGATAATCTCAAATGAGTATCGAACTACACTTAAATTACATATTTCGGGTGTATCTATATCGCTCGTAAATCGCTATTGTTGACGGGCGCAAGTTCCAAAGTATGCAATGGGATGAAAGGCTACCCAGATTATTACAAAATGCTTCCTCTCCCTTCTGTTAAGCACAATGGCAACATAAAAAGTCGTTACTTCGCACGGATCTTACGATTTCACTGGATCAAGTTCGATTTTATTTTCCTACACCTCTTTCCACGTTTAAGGACTTATTCGTTCGAGATCACATCAGACCAGATCGCACGGTTACTCGGCGCGTTATCAATTTTATTACAATCAAGAGCAAGCGATGATTTTCCAAACCGCATCCCCTCGGAAAGCGGACTTACCAGATCATGCGGCGCAAACGATAGCCGCTGCCGATCGCTAAATTCATTTTGATGCGAGCGGTTATTAGATGGCTAGAGCCGGTGTAAAACGTCGCCGTAATCACCGGTTACTAACTAACTGGCTGAACCTCCGCCCGCTGCCCCCTTTCTACATCTTTTCGCGATGCGCACGCGCATATATTCGCGATTCACCGATCGCCGCCGGCACCGTCGATACTGTTTACACCGTAGTAATTTGCTAATGGCCAGGTCGACACGATGAATTCGGGATCGGGCTAGCTGCGTGGTCTGCATGCCGATCGCGCGGCGGGATCGACAACGCGGCCCGAGTGATCGAGGATCGATCACGCAGGAGGAAGAGGGAACACGCCTCCGCCGATCGATTTTGCCGTTCGTCCGCGTATTACCGATCTATTCTGGGCCGTAATTTGCGTCGATTATCCTTTCGTTTACCATGGCTTATCGCTCGGACCGCTTTCGATGATAACCGAAGTGATGAAGGCAATGGATCCGTATCTATTTACGTCACGCTTACGCGTGTCTCCTTTCCATGTTCGTTCTTTTAGAAATACAAAACGGACTCGATCATTGCACGCTCTTTGCTGCAGATCTTTCGCTCGATTAATATCGGGGGTCAGTTTAAGAGAAATATTCAACATTGAGATAGCTTTCGTTTCATAAACTATTAACAATCTAAAGATTTTTATCAATTATGCTT